GTGCACTAATGTGTGACATTGTTGAGGATTTAAACCAGTAAATGCAAACATTCCTGTTTGTGTAATAATATGCGTCCAAGTGCCTAAATCACACATGAAAATATGACTTATAGTCAAAGCACTACAAACTGACGCAACACCAAGAGTAGTTTCGTATTCCGGCTACGTCTTTCTTGTCAAGGTGGACTCAAGCGTTGGTTTCAAAACGAGATTTTGTAAGAGCTCTGATGCTAAATCTGTTTATTTTAAACGCTGCTTATGTGGCAATTAACATCTTTGAATCCTAATGGTCCTGTCTCGGATTTCAACCCTTACTTGCCAAGCAAAAGAAAAACGATTTGGAACTAGGCTAACCGAAGTAGAACTGAACTTTTACCTAGTTTGATCTAGAGTAGAATTACATAAATGCTCTGTTTTATGCCAAACCGAAAGGAAAAGGAAAGATACATTACGGTTATGTTCTTTTCTGTTGTACATAAAATCACTGCCGAAAAACGGCAGATTAGCTGTCTCGCCCTCCAAGGGATCCTGAGTGTTACACAAAACCATCTAGATCTCTTTAGGAACAAACCGACTTTCGTTGCACACTGTGCTTCAACGGGTACATTAGGAGAAAAAATGAAAGTGAGATTTTTGTTTGGAAGTCCTTCCTGCCCAAGAAATTAGTTGTTTTCTTAGAGTAAGCGTTTTCCCGAAACCTTTGCTCAGTAAAACGAGTTTTCGACTTTTTCCGAATGTCTAATCTTGATGACATTTTCAGGAAATGTTCTTCTACATACGACACAACTACACTGTTAGCGCAAAATACCGGAGATTTTCTGACCCAAGATTTTTATTTTGCAAAACGCCTGGTTTTGAGAAGATTTTCTATCATTTCTCCTCTCTGATCAATTATTTTTCAAAAGTAATGACAAATTGGGAATCAGCATAAAAAGCTGCATGGGATAGTTTGTCTTTCACCGTCTTTCATTAGGCAACGGTCAAGAGGTGGTAGTGGGCACTGAGCGGAGTAACGCAGGTTTTTCACTCATGAGCGTGGCATAGAACGACATACAACGTGAAAAACCACCGCATTTTCTCCTCTGCAAAAGGTTTTCTAGAAAACAGGTTCTCCATAAAACCTTCAGGAACGCTTTCCAAAGATCTTGATAATAACGGATTACATTTCTGCATACTTTCAAACCTAAACACACACTTTGCTAAGTAAAAATAGGTTCCTTTCAGCCCGTTTTAGCCTTCAAAATCGAAGGTTTTCTAGAAAACCTACCTTGAGGCAACCAATCATCTGAAAAAGTGTTCCATAGGGAAGAACATATGCGAAAACCTAAAGAAACTATATTTTGGGTTGATTGGATTGATTTAAATCCAAACATCCATGTGCCTATTAAAAATTGCACACTGTGCGTTGGTGATAAAACTAACCAGGTGTGCCCAATTCGTTGAGTCGAGTGTAAAGCTTTTGTCGAATCGCTTGAATCCGGCTGCACATCCTTCTAATATCTAAAATCCATTCTTGATATAACGCTTCAGTATTCAACACTGTTGATACAATTTGTGCGCCACGTTGTGGTGGAGTTAAATAATTTCTGCACACGACCAATGCCATTTGAGAAAGAAATATCGGTACTGTCTCAGGGGAGTGGAAGCAAGCAATCAATTGACCGATACGCTCAGAGTAAACACCCAAGTTTTTCGAAAATGACTGCGCAACAAATAATTCAAGATTTAATGTATCTGCAAAATATCGAATAGACCACGCATCTTCATCTAGAAAACAGATATACATAATAGTAGTGGATTTCTTTTGTGCTATTCTCACCATTACCTAAGTCCCCCGATGAAAAACCTTGGTATGCTAGATCGAAAAATGGAAATAAATGTTTTCGTTGAATAATTTCAGCAATCTGCTGCCATTGTTCTTTAGTTGGATCACACCCCGTAGGATTGTGAGCACAGCCATGTAACAAGATGACACTTTTGGCA